CCTCAGCCTCCCAAAGCGCGGGATTACAGGCTGAGCCACCGAGCCTGGCTGCTACATTTTTTAAAGTTAAAAGAAACAGGTACAATTAATTTCATTTAACCCAAATTATTTTATATTAACCCAAAGTATTTAAAATAGTATCACTTTGGCCGGGTGCGGTGGTTCAAGCCTGAAATCCCAGCACTTTGGGAGGCTGAGGCGAGAGGATTGCCTGAGTCCAGGGTTTGAGACCAGCCTGGGTAACCTGGCAAGACCTTGTCTCTACAATAAATAAAAAAATATTAGCCAGGCGTGGTAGTGCGTGCCTGTAGTTCCAGCTAATTGGAAGGCAGAGGCAGAAGGATCCCCTGAGTCCAGTAGGTCAAGATTGTGGTGGCTGTGAGCATGCCACTGCACTCCAGCCTGGGCAACAGAGTTAGATGAGACTCCAACTCAAAATAATAAAAATAAAATAAAATAAAATAAAATATTATCACTCAACATATAATCAACATGCATATATTAATGATATAATAGCCAGGTAATATGGCTCATACCTGTAATACCCACTACTTGGTAGGCTGAGGCAGGAGGACTGCTTGAGGCCAGAAGTTCAAGACCAGCCTGGGCAACATAATAAGACTGTGTTTAAAATTTTTAAAAAAATTTGTCTGGCATGGTGGTGCGTGTCTGTAATTCTTGCTGCCCAGGAGGCAGAGGTGGTAAGATTGAGCCCAGGAGTTCAAGGCTGCAGTGAGCTAGGATCATGCTACTGCACTTCGGCCTGGGCGACAGATCAAGACTTGTCTCTTAAAAAAAATTTTTTTAATTGAGATAGTTTACATTCTTTTTTTGTACTAAATCTTACAGCACATCTCAATTTGCACTAGCTAAGGGGCTCAAGAGCCACATTTGGTTGGTGGCTACCACTCCAGAACTCAGACTTGGAGCCTTTCCTGGTGGGGCTGAGTCCTTCAGAGGACCTATTTATGGCTGTTTACTGGTGCCTGGCACACGAGAGGCCCAGTGATATGTGAGCTTGGGTAACTTCCCCTCTGAGTCTCCAGGGATTGTTGCAAAGATTAAACAAAATTATGTATGTTAGGAACCCAGCTCAGGGACTGGCACTTAGTAGGAACAGTAGTTGTTGCTGCTGTTCTTAGTTCCCCAAAGGCAACTGAAGGGCAGCAGGCCCCGGTTGGCTTCTGTCTCCCGGTTGAGTCACTTCACCCTAGGCCTGGTCCCCTAGAGAGTGCAGAATGCAAGTGTGTATTCCAGAGCTGGCAGAGGCCCTGGGGTCCGGCTCTGGGTTAAGTAGCGAAAGAGCGGGAACCTCTGGTCCACGCCCTTGTTTTTTCTGCCCCTTGACAGCTCGAGGCCCCGCCCCGCTCTTCCCAGCCTTTCTCGCCAGAACTACAAATCCCACGATGCAGCGGGAGTTCACGAGTGTACGTCATCAGCTTGCGACGCCCGGGCGGCGCAGTGGCGCGCAGAGCCGCGGAACCCCGTAGGCGTAAGGAGTGGGAGGGTCGAACTGACTGAGCTTAGAGTCCACCGGCGCATCAGGACCCAGCGGCTGACCGAGCAAGCCGGCAACGGCTGGTGGCGCGCGCGTCCGTCCCCCTTCCACCTTCCGCCTCCTCGGGTGGCGCTCGCTGGTGACGTCTTGGGTGTGATGGCCGCCGCGAGGCCGGGGAGGTGAAGGTGAGAGGGCCAGAGCGGTGGTATGGCGGGGACCCGCCCGGCCCAGCCCAGCCCGGCGAGTCCTGAGCAGCCTGGCGTGGGCCGGCGGGACTCTGGGGCACCCGGGACTCGGAGTCTGGCCAGGCGGGCGTCCCCACTCAACGGCCTCGCTGTCGGGCCCTCTGCGGCCTTGCGAGGAGGAGGCGGGACGCGGGCCCTGGGACTGGGAGGTGGGGTCCCCTGAAGCTCTCATCGCCCCCAGCCTTCCCACCCTTCGTGGCCACATTCACCCCTGCCCTTACCCCATTTCTTCATCCAGTCTTCCTTATTTTGCAAGCATTTACTCAGCACATGCTAGGTGCCCACATTCACCGCGGGAGCGCCCTGCCCTGCTGTCCCCAACTTTGGGCGCTTTTTGTGCTCTCTTTCAGCAGTCTGTTTATTTGTCTGGCTTTTCAGTTGACTGTAAGGCTTTTGAGAGCAGGACGTGTTTTTTCCATCCCTAATTCTGGCGCCAGACACACACACAGAAAGTACACAGAAAATGATCAATAAATAGCTGTTTGAAGGCACAAAAGCAGAACTGTCTGTCCCCCTATTTTGTAGTCCTTCATTACCCTATTTTTTGTATTTTTATTTATTTGTTTTTTTGATCTGGGGTCTCACTGTCGCCCAGGCTGGAGTGCAGTGGCACAATCACGGCTCACTGCTCAGGCGATCCTTCCACCTCAGCCTCCTGACGGCTGAGACTACAAGAGCAGGCCACCACACCTAGCTCTTTTTTATTTTTTTGTAAAGATGAGGTCTTGCTGTGTTGCCCAGTCTGGTCTTGAGCTCCTGGGCTCAAGCCATCCTTCCATCACAACCTCCCAAAATGCTAGGATTATAGGCGTGAACCACCACCACTTCATTACCATATTTCTTTCAATTGTCATTTTCCTCCCTCCTAGAAAAGGGCTCATTATCCCTTTCACACCCCCAAGGTGGTGGGGGTGG